AAGTCAAAGGGACATACATCACAGATACCCTATGGAACACCTGTGCAGGGCAGTGGTAGTTCACAGATAGCTGCTCTTGGAGAAGACTCTGTGTGCATGAGAACACTCACTGCTATTGCTGCCCTAGGGTTTGAATTTTGCCTGTGGAGAGTTTATTTTTATGAGCTTTTTACTACAAAAAATTACTGTTTATAATTCTTATTTTTCTATTACAGAAATTGATGACTTGGATGCCATTGTACCTGCAGTAAAGAAATTAAAAGTACTTTCATACTGAAAACAAATCAAATCAATTTTACCGTGTAAATTGTATTCTTAACATTTTAAGTATTTCAAAGAACCAGTCCTGAGACAAGATTCTAAAATGTATCAGCTCTCAATTCAGCCTCTGAGCACTGGATCATTTTCAATCATATAAGTTTTATTTTTTGATTATTTAACAGAAAGGAGCTGTTAAGTTATTAAAATAGTAAATTCACTTTAGATCTCTTAATCGTTTCCTAAGTAATGCTTGAGTGTTTTAAATGTAATGGTTATTTTAAGGGAGAGGTTGCAAATTATAGAAAGTGGCATTTAAGTTCAAGGTTTTAATGACCTTTTGGTCAGAGAAAGAATGCCAATTGCTTTCTAAGCCCAACCAATAGGAAGCCACTGCTTTCCCACCAGGATTAATGGGCATATTCTATTAAGATGCCTTTCAAAGCAGAAAGAAAAGGTTTTGTCTTTGTATTAAGATAGGAAGTTAATCATGAGGTGAAATGGATGATTAGGTAGAAGTCTTTCAGAAAATGTGTCTTTATTTGCAATACTGATGTAGTATACTTTTATAAAGAAATAAAATTTTTATAAAGAATTTCCAAATGTAAGTGTCGTTAGTGACTTACTTGTATTATTCACAAATCATGAGTCATAGTATCTTCCTAGGCTGAGGCTTGCTTGGGCCATGGATTCCTCCTCGCGGCATTTTACCTAAGAGTCCTATTCTTACTGCTTTCTACTTACTCTCGATGCTCTATATTCAGTATGAAGGGGGCGGGCAGTGCTCTGAATGACATCCATGAACACAAGCTACTCTAGGCTACCCCATATCCATATCCTCCTTTACAAATGCTTGTTGGTTGATACGAACTACTATAGTAAAGCATTTCTAGGAAGCAGCATGGTAGTGTGGAGAGTGCCAAAAAACAGGCATCCAGATCCTTAGGGTTGTGACTTCAATGGCATAAAATAATACCTTAGGTTCTTTTAACCGGCAGTTAACCCCAGTGGTTCTCAGCCTTCCTAATGCTGCGACCCTTTAATACAGTTCCTCATGCTGTGCTGACCACCATAAAATTACTTTCCTTGCTTCTTCACAACTGTAATTTTGCTACTGTTATGAATCATAATGTAATTACCTGTGTTTTCTGATGCTCTTAGGCAAACCCTGTGAAAGGGTTGCTTAACCCCCAAAGGGATTGTGACTCACAGGTTGAGAAGCCAATGTAACTAACCCATAATCTGTAGAATGTTTGATAGCTTCCTTAGAAAAAGCATTTGGTTATTCATTCTGAATTGATGAAGTTACTCTTAAGAAATTTCTGTGAAGAGGTTTGGAAGTCTTTTATTTTAAAGGATTTACTCTCATTTTTAAAGTGTGTGTGTGTGTGTTTGTGTGCACATGTATATGCGTGTATTGAGTGCAGGTACCCTTGGAGTCCAAGAAAAGGATGCTGGCTCCCCTGGAACTGGAGTGACCTGCAGTCGTGAACAGCCCAATGTGGGTACTAGGAACTGAACTCTGGTCCTCTGCAAGAGCACTATGCACTCTTAACCACTGTGCCATCTCTCTAGCCCAAAGGTTGCAAGTCTTGACAATGTGTGTAATGTGTGTGCATGCACATGTTTGAGATGGGTTGTCCCGTATTCCAGGTTGGCTTTGAGTCCACTATAGCCAAGGCTAACTTTGAACTCCTGGACCTCTTTCTATCACTCCCAAGTGCTAATATTGTAGGCGTGTGCCACCACACCTGGCCTTAACAATATTTAGGAATAAAAGAAGAAATACAATTAAGATCATAATGGGGGCTACAGAGATGACTCAGCAGTTAAGAGTGTTTATTCTTGGGCTGTGATGGTGCATGCCTTCAATCCCAGCAACTCAGGAGAGAGACACACAGATATCTGTGAGTTTGAGGTCAGCCTGGTCTACAGAGTGAGTTCCAGGACAGCCAAGGCTACACAGAGAAACCCTGTCTCAGAAAAACAAACAAACAAACAAAAAACAAACAAATAAAAACAAACAAACAAAAAGTTTATTCTTGCAGAGGATCCTAGTTTGGTACCCAGCATCCATATTGGGTGACTCACAATTGCCTGTATCTCCAGCTCTAAGGGGATCCAGTGTTTCCTGCCTCAGGCTTCCATGAGCACCTGTATTCATACAATAAAAATCTTAAAAGATTATGTAAATTTCAGTGGCTTGTTTTAATCTCATAGTTAACTCAATTTAAAACAGAAGTTTCTAAATCCTTTTCCAGGATTTTAGAAGTACCTCAAAGGCCATTAAGGACAGTTACACTAATGCAAGTAGCTTTAGACTTCTGTTATGTCTACCTTTATCCGATTTTTAACTGTTTAAAACTAAAAGGACTACAGTTGTTTCTGGCTTAGATAGAGAACTATCTAAATATAAGCATTCAAAACACACACTTGCTTTAAAACAGTTTTGATGTATATTAACGTAAAAACTATACATGGAGTATAAAATTTGAAGAGTTCTGGTGCATACCTATATTTGCAATGCTGCGGCGGTTTGAATGAGAGCATCCGCCATAGACTTAGCTATTAACACTTGGTCCCCAGTTGGTGTCACAGTTTGGGGGAGGTTGGGGAACCTTTGGGAAATGGAACCTTACTGAAGGAAATACATCACTAGCAGGATTTGAGTATTTACATGTTTCATTTCCTGCTTATTCCCTCTGCTTGTGTTTACCTTTTCTGATGTGAACTCTCAGCATCCTGCTTCTTGCCATTATGACTGCTGCTGGCTACTATGTTTCCCCACCATGATGGACTAGAACCGTAAGCCCAAATAAACTTTCTTCTATAAGTCACCTTGTTCATGTGTTTTATCACAGCAACAGAATATGGTCTTTTGCTATTGAGCCTTTAGAATTTGTTCAGACTTTATGATTAGAGATGCATTTTTATATATTCCACAAGCTATTTTAAAAATTGAATCTCAAAAAAATGAATCTCTATTATGGGTACATTTTGCTTATTGTGTTATTGAGACTCATAGACCTATCATTTTTTTTTGTCTGCTTGATTTGTCAGTTTCTAGGAGATACTAAAATCTCTATACTTTTGCCAAATTTCATTGTGTATTTTGAACCCATTTTCTACTTTCATATAAATATACCTGATATGCTATCTTAATATCCCTCTTTGTTGCTATTCATGCTCACTGCCTTGAATGTAATTTTGTTCTTTTCTGTTTTCATATATCATCATCATTTTATTACAGTTTTGTTTTGTTTGAGACAGGAACTCACTATGTAGCCTTGACTGGCTTGGAGCTCATAGAGATCCACTTGAATCTATCTCTTGATTAAAGACGTGCACTACCCTGCCTGGCTTTGATCATTTTTAAATTACACTTTTTAGTTTGTGTTATGTATGTGTGTGTATGTGCGCACACATGCGCCTCAACATACATGTGGAGGTCAGAGGACAACTGACTTATCAGTTCTCTCCTTCTACCAACTGCGTCATCTCAGCAGCCTGACTTTATCTTACTTTAGTTTACTTTTTGAGACAGGGTTTCTCTGTATTGCTTTGGAGCCTGTCCTGGAACTCACTCTGTAGACCAGGCTGGCTTTGAACTCCCAGAGATCCGCCTGCCTCTGCCTCACGAGTGCTGGGATTAAAGGCATGTGCCACCAATGCCTGGCTCCTGATTTTATTTTAATGGTGACTAATTAGTTTATTGTACTAACTTTTAAAATATGTATCAATTATAAATGCCATGTGTAATTAAATTGTTATAAAGTCAACACCCATGTAACAACCAAGAAATAGAGTGCATGGATGGCTCTCTCAGACCTTGTAAAAGTTCCTAGAGGTCACTGTCATCATAACTTTTATGTCAATCACTTCCTTAGTATTTTAAAGAAATGGGAGATTTTCATGAGCATGCCAGAACCAATATTTGCCTCTTTTTATAAAAATGTAATTATAGTGTGCATGCTATTTTTAATGTTCCTTTTGTTCAATGTTGTGCTTTGTGTTCATTGCTATAGAGTATTCGTCTTCCTGTTGTGCTGAGCATTGGCATTTGAGTGGTTTCCAGGTCTTGGCTATGGAGAACTGTGCTGCTGTCAGCACGTGTTCTTATACGCATGTGCAAGTTTTCTAGCATATGTATCCCAAACCGTAAATGCTGGCTCTCAGTGGCAGTTGCTTCTTGTATATAGAAAAACAAATCAGTTTCTACTCTGAACTCTGTAAAGCTCCAAAATTAGGCTGCATGCTTTTTTGTTCTTGGTGTGAAAAGGGGATCTCCTTGAACTGCGTTAATTAATCAGTGAGATATACTCAGTTTAAAAGTGGGGGAATATATGTCATCTGCTTTGAAGCTAAAGGCAAGACAAAGGCATGCAGACTCAGAGAAATGCCCCGTCCCTTCACCATAAAGGAATGCGCAATTCATTCCAGGCCCAGGTCCTACTTTCTCTAGCCAGCCACTGCTTCTTTCATGCTGTCAGTTTCTGAGTTGAAGAGGAGGGAGAGTGGTTCAGGAACTTCCTATGAGTACTGAGTGAATGTTTTTTTTTGTTTGTTTGTTTGTTTGTTTTTGTTTTTACGAGACAGGGTTTCTCTGTATTGTTTTAGAGGCTGTCGGTCCAGCCTGGCCTTGAACTCACAGAGACTGAGTGAATGGTTTAAAAATTCCCTTTACTAAATACTTGAGACAAACCAGGTACTGTATTGTGTGGTACCCAACCCTCTTGACTCACCCTAAGATTATTCTGAGGAAGGAAGCGATGGATGTTGGTAGTGGAGGCCTCCTCACTTTCTTCCACAGCTCTTGTGTACTATGTTGGACTTGGAGGCTACAGTGACCCCATGGCCAGGCTGAAGAACAGCACAGAAGTTCCCAGTGGACATCTGGCCTGGGGCTAATTGAAAAATGAATCTCAAGAAATACTGAAGATCAGTAGGAGAGACATCTGGGATGACTCTCTTCTGACCACTGGTACCTAGTAACTCAGAACCAAATGTCATGTGGTATGGAACTCTGGGTATCTAGGGAGATTCTTATGCTGGCATCTCCCACTCTGATGTCATAGACTTTCATTCATCAGTACAAGGGAAGTGATCTTGAGGCCCAACATGCTTTGCTACTCCAAAGTCTCCTTCCTCAGCAGGGTATAGTCTATTACCCTTGGCACTCTTAAGTGCCTGGTGCAATTCAAACCCCTGAAGCTTTCCTTGACATCAGCTGTGTGCTATGCACCATAGTAGTCACTGCCTTCTTGAGGTCCTCTAACATACTGCATAGCAACTCACTAACCATTCTGGCACATTCGCTACCATTTATTTCATCTCATATTCCTTCTGCCTTTCAGTAGCTGACAGTGTGGCAAGCTGCTGACAAAATGTTGACAAGTTCCTCAGTCAAAGATGATTTTTATCAGGATGAACCGTCATTGGCAACTGCCTATAGGTTTTCTTTGGTTCAGTATTTGATGCCATGGCTTCAGTATCTTGCAATAAGAAGAGTTTAGTTCATCCTTAGAAACCACAGCCATGGGCAAGAATCAAACCATTTGCTCTCCAAGTGGGCTGGCAATAGCACTCACTAGTTTATGCATGCATTATGCTGCTGATGCGTTTTCTACCTGACCCACTGACCTAACCTTACAGCTTGTTGCTCAGCAGGGTTAAGCAATTCTGCAAGGCTGAAGAATCCAGCCTGACTCGTCATCCATCCCTCCAGAAATTACCAGTGGAACTATAGACAACCCCAGAAGACTGTCAGAACCAGGAGCAGAAAAGTACCCACCTTCTAAGAAAATGGGTGAGTAGCCTTGCATCACTGTGAAAATCCTTGCTTAGAAATCGGAATATCCTCTAAGTCCAGCTGCCCAGTTTCCATGCCTAGAACCCCACTGAAACTCAGAAAGTCTTTCAGCTTCATGCATATATACATGAGATGGTCACGAGTATCACATAGTCAGTCAGTCACCAGAAGCCTGCCTGTCCACACTGACACAGTTCCTCTGCCCTCCACAGTCCCAGGCCTCTGCACTTAGCTGCCTGATTTGGTTTCCAGTCCAGCTGGTGTCAAACAGGAACCTGAGATGTCTCTTCTGTCTGTCCTCCTTGGTTGGAAAGTGGTAACTATTCTAAGAAGCAGTTTCTTTTCTACTAGACCGTGAAAAATCACTGGGGGAATTTTGGAAGTACCCACCTGTAACACAAATAATAAGAACTGTAAGTGTGAACTTGTGCTTGGTTAATGAGGCTCCACAGGGTAGCAGCTTCTAAACCCATTTTCTAGTTTTGGGTGTTTTTACACCAGCTTGGCTCTGTATACTGTCAGACCCTACACTCCAGTAGCAGAGATTAGCTGTTGTACATGCTGCTAACTGGTCCTGTCCTCACATGGTGCCTTTCCTCTGATACTAAAATTTGGTTTTCAGTTGTAACCTTTAATTCCTGAACACTGCTTCAGTTTTTCTCTATATTATCACTAGAAACTTCACCCATGGTACTTTTAAATTAGCCATGCTCATTATTTAACTAGATGTACGTGTTTGAATGAGAATGTAGATTTAGATGCTTAAACTCTTGGTCACCAGTTGGTGATGCTGTTTGAGAGGTTTAGGAGGTGCAGCCTTGTTGAAGAAAGTACTTCACTGGGATCCAGCTTTGGGAGTTTAAGGACTCAACCTACTTGTAGTTCATTGTTTCTGTTTGTGCTTTCCATCCAGGAGGTGAATTCTTTCTTGTTCCTACCACCATGCCTGCTGCCTGCAGCCATGCTACAGCCTGTCATTGTAGAATTCCCTAGAACCATTAGCTAAAATGAACACTTAAGTTGCTCTAATCATGGAGGTTTATCACAGCAAAGTAAGTAATATTCCAGTTCTTCATGGGTTTGGGGAGTGGTAAGTTTCCCCCTATCAGTCACCATCAGTTTTAGAATGGCTAATATTTATATGGTACATCCATTTCTCTTTGGTGCTTTTCCATTTTCATGATACTTGTCTATTTAGGAAGAAATAAAAATATCATCGTGATGTAAAGTAGTTATCAATTGCCATATTTTATTGAGAGAATTTGTTATTTAAAATAGAAATATCAGGCTGAGGAGTTGGCTCAGTTATAAAAGTGTGTGTCTTACAAGGATCTGAGTTTGAGCCTCAGAACTCAATGCTAATAAATATAACAATAATAATAAAAATAGGTATGGTGGTGCCTCTTGTGTTCCCAGCACTGGAGAGGATAGGGACTTGGATCTCTGTGGTTCACTAGCCAGCCAATCTAGCTTACCTGATGAGTTCCTGGCCAGTGAGAGATCCTGGGAGAGGGGCATGCTCTAGTCTCCCTTTCACACACATATATAACACATACACACACACACACAAAATAGAAATATCTGCAAAAACTTTATTATCCATCAAGTAGTCTGTGGTTCAATTGAGATATAAACTAAAACTTATATTGTAGCTTCTTGGCATGTGACCTAGTAGAGAGTTTGTAAATTACACTGAGACTTATTCAAATGGAAAGTGCTACACAGTATGGATTGGCCATTGGAAAAGATGATACAGTAGCTGTACTATTCTGTTCTCAGGATGCTGCTGAACACACAGCAGCTGGACACATCTGCACAGGAGTACAGTAGGAGAAATCAAAGACCAGGCTGTCTCACATTTGATAGGAGTGTTAGAGCCATGGCTATTACACACTATAATAAATGACAACTTACAAGTTATAGTGCACAAACACTATCGTTTTCTTTTTTGAGACAGAATCTTGTTATTTAACCCAGGCAGGCCAGCCTCAGCCTCCCAAGTGCTAGGATTACAGGTGTGAGCCACCATGCCCAGTTGGATTTATTGGGTTTTCTCGTTTTGTTTGATTTTTGAAATGTAGTCTCAACTTTGTAGCCTTAGCTAGCCTGGAACTCACTATGTGAACCAGACTGTCATTAAATGCACAGAGATCCACCTGCCTCTGCCTCCCAGTACACGTGTGCTGCCATCCCCAACTGTGTTTCCATTCTTGTAGAAGAGCATGGGAGAAGGGCCTGTGAGACAGCTCAGTGGGTAAAGGGGCTTTGTTGTGCAACCCTGACCAGAACCTATGTAGGTGTTAGAGACAAACAACTCTGTCACAGAGTTGTCCTTTAACTGCCACATGTATGCCATGACACATGGGTGCCTCCTGCTCACACCATACACAGAATAATAATAAATAAAACAGCATCATTGAAGACAACAGAAACACAGCAGGGAGTGTTGCCCGAGTGGATGAAAGATGAAGGTGTAACCTTGACAATCACCCAAGAAACATAAGAACAAAAATTCTGGTCTTACAAACTGAAATGTGTAAAAGGCACTCGTTTAAATATACAATTTACATATTTTCCTTTTAACATGTATATTTGGGTGACCCAACAATCTATTAGGACAGCAGAACTAAGTCTCAAAATTGTCTAAGAGAAATACAGAAAGCTCCCTTTCTTCCTGGGAAGTGACCGTTCTGCAGCCTCCAGTACCCAGAGTTCAGATGTAGACCTGGGTTTGGGGCTAGGCTTAAATTTTCCTATGGAAATAATGCCATATGCCAGAGGTTTGTCCCTAGGCCTTCCCAGAAAATTTAACTTGGGATACTTAAGGAGATCACTCTAACATTGTTGCCCCTAGGAAATACACTGTAGTTCCAAGTCAGAACCAGAGGCAAATGTCTGGGCTCACAAGCATCACAGGCAAAGGGGCTTTGATAGTGTTAGTTCTGGGAAGTTTTGAGTTTGGTTACTTTTTATTTCCACAAAAGAGTGCTCTCCTTTGGTCAGAACTGCCCAGGAATGCTGGTAGGTGCTCTATGAACAGCTACCCCAACCTGGTGCTGGAGACAGGGCACTCTCTCTTGCATACTACCTTCAAGCAAGTCCTAAATGAGATGTGAACAATTTCTGGTTTTGAACTAGTGGAATTACAAGAAATAGTTCTTTTACACACAATACCCCCTTTTCTATCCAGTCATGTAGTTAGAGTTCATTCAGCATACACTCCCATCAAATAAATGTTCTTTAAATAAAAATACACCCATACACCTTCTAACATTTGGTGACAACAGCTCTTCGTCAGCTTCTGGGCTGTCCATCTGGAGTCAGCTCATACCTGTAAGACAGTCACATTTGGCTTTGTGTTAGTAATGAGGATGTGGGGCTGCTACAACACAAGCAGCACAGTCTCTGGAGACGGCTAAACCCAACTGTCTGAGAGGCGCTGGCCAGGATTAACTCTGCATTTATAGAGGGCTGCAGGCAGGCCTACAGTCATAACCTGAGTATTTGGAAACCAAAGCACCTGAAACAATACTGAAAGGGAAAGAAGTCTGGAGACCAGGGCAGCTGCCTGAGATAGTGTCCTCCACAGTTAACAGTGATAATGAAAGGCACACTTACCACTGTGAAAAGCCCTTAATCAGATCTTCTTTTGATAAGTCAATCAGTACCTACACAATCACAAATATTAGCACCGTGTTAAATGGGAACACTCTGGGATAAACTGGGCTGAGGGTGAAGGGTCTCAGCTTTCAGCAGGGTATTTTCTTTTCAAAATGTATCATTTGAGAATTTCATACACATACATAATTAAATATAACTGTATCCACACATGCCCCACTTCTCTCCTCCAGCTCCCACTAGAGCACTGCCATATGGCCACATCCCAACTTCATGTCTTTCTTTTGAACAACCCACTAAATCCAATTAGGGCTGTTCATATGTGCATAGTATGGAGCCAGCTGTGTGGCCATGCCCCAAAAGAAGAATGCCTCTACCTCCTATTGACTGCCAATAGCTCCTCAGCTGTGGGTGGGACTCTCTGAACCCCTCCTTCATCCTGGAATCTTTCCAGAGAGAATGCAAACATCGGCCTCAGTGTTCTAGAATAACTATTTCTACCCAGGACTAGGGAGGCCAAAGCAGATGGAACACTGTAAGTTTGAGGCCAGCCAGGGCTATGTAGTTACACCCTGTCTCAAAAACAAAACAAAAGCTGTTCCTGTTTGGGATACAATTTGAGATATTCAAAGACTATCTTCAAGAATTACAGATATTTAATTTTCAAGTTTATTTATGAGTGTTATAAAAAAGTAAACTTACCCATAAAAATGAGCATAATAAGCCGGGCGGTGGTGGCACACACCTTTAATCCCAGCACTCGGGAGGCAGAGGCAGGTGGATCTCTGTGAGTTCGAGGCCAGGCTGGACCGACAGCCTCCAAAACAATACAGAAAAACCCTGTCTTGTAAAACCAAAAAAAAAAAAAAAAAAAAAAGAGCATAATACCATCTGCTTCATAGGCAGAAAATACTGCCAGTTTTATAGAAGTAGGTGATAGAGAGATGAGTGCAGAAAGTAGTTATTAAAATAAAATTACAGTACGAATGCCATGGCAGAATCTCCTTGGTATACTCCTGGGATTATATGTCCTCTTAAGTAAAATTCTGTTAACACAGAAACCTTGACCTAATTCAATTCAAGTTTTATTTAATGATCTATTTATAACAGTAATAGGTAATACCAGAGTAGATGCCACATACTTACAGAATATGGAATTTGGATAGTCTCTGGGTTGTTAAAGTCTATACACTAGTTTATATTTTTATATTAGGCCTGAAGAATATGAAAACAAAAAGTCCTTTCAAGGAGGCTGTCCATCCTTCCACGTTCTGCTCTAGTAGGAGCTGACTGGTTCCATCAGGTGTTAGGATACAAGGAAATGACAACTACTCACTTTTCCTAATTCCTTTCTTCTGTGTGAGCCAAGAGGCCTGCTGTTTTTCACTGCAACATCCAGTGACCTCTTCTGTGCTTCTTCCATGGGAACAAAAAATTCAAATCTTTAAAAGTCAAAACATTAAAATGAGATTTACATGTAATCACCTTTGTTGAAAACAGTGTTTCTTCCACTTCCCACTAAAACAAGAGCTGTCAACTTTTAAAAGCGACAGAATCAGCACTGGCTCCTAGGTTCACAGGTAACATGTCATCTAAATCTGTGAAGTGTCGAGAGACCCATGATGAGCCTCTCAGATGGCTGCTGTGTGGAGTGTGTTGCATCCTGACTCTACACCGAATGTGCTTTCACTGATATCCTCATCTGGACCCTCCCAGAGGAACACCTTACCCCTCTCTGCTCTGACAGCAGAAGGCCGGGGTGCTCAGGAGGTAGGCTTGCTGGAGTTGCATGGGGAATAATGACTGTGTCCCTCAGAGGACTGTGTCCCTGCCTTGTCATGATCAGCCTCATCAGAGAGGCACATGGAACCTTACTTCTAGGTTTCTATTTAGAGTGGGGTTTGCTCAGTCTGCCTTCAGATAACCCTGGCTTTCATCTCGTTGCAATTTTTAGAAAGAATGTCTAACAGATTGTCTTGATAGTCAGATGTTCCCTCCTGTGTTCTTTTTAACATATTTGTATAATTGTGTCAGAGTTATCCTTCAAGACAGTGTCCACTTTGTGGCTGCGGACGGTGTGCCCGTCATAGGGTTCAGTGAATGTTCGATGGGCTTTCTTGAAGTCTTTCTTGGTGAGGATAGACATAGATCAAAGAGGACTTGGCTTCAGCCTTTAGTTATGATTAATTAAAATAAGAAGAAAAGAAAAATCATGTTTCCAACCTGGCTAGAAATGTCTTGTCTTAGGACTGCAAAACAGAGGAAGATACTAAGAATACAATGACTCAGTGGTTAAGAGCACTTGCTGCTTGAAAGAATATAGACTCCAAAGGGAGTGGTACTATTAGGAGGTGTGGGTTTGTTGGAAGAAGTGTGTCACTGTGGGGGTAGGCTTTGAAGTCTCCCATGCTCAAGCTACACGTAGTGAGATAGACCACTTCCTGTTGCCTGTGGATCAAGATATAGGACTTGTAGTCATTCTCCAGCACCATGCCTACCTGCACACCACCATGTTGCACCATGATGGTAATGGACTAAACCTCTGAAAATGTAAGACACCCAATTAAATGTTCTCCTTTATAAGAGTTTCTGTGATCATGGTGTCTCTTCACAGCAATAGAAACCCTAATTAAGACACTGCTCTTGCATAGGATTGAAGCTCAATTCTTAGTACCCATATAAGGTGCTTCAAGACCATCTGTAACTGCAGCTGCTAAGGACTGAACACTTTCTTCTGGACTCTGAAGGCACTACTACAGATGTGGAATACACATAAATAAAAAATAAAAAATTTAAGGACTTGCTACTGGACTCATCACCAAAAGCAAGAATGTGCCGAGACAGACTGTCTGTAAGTGTTGTTCTCAAAGATATAGATGAAGAGAAAGGATCTCTTTTACCTGCCAACCTTGTTATGTTTCAGGAGGGAAGATAGGCCATAGAATGGGAGTGTACACTATCCCACCATGAACATTTTATCCTCTTCAGAACAGCAAATGTGAGCAGCTTGGTCACATTATTGGATAAACTGGCCTAGCAGCCCTTTTCCCCACTAAAAAGTATATAGGTACTGCATGAGGTCAGACCACAGTGTCCCGTTCAGCCCAGCACTCAGGCTTCCCTCTGCCTGCACCCGCCAGTGTTTGACATTCTGTACTATGAAAGTAAGTGGTCTGCTAAGCCCTGCCCTGCTCACGTTTCATCAAATAGGGGCTCCAGGGTCTTCCGCTTTACTGAGGTCTTCTTGCGACTTGCCCATCTCCTTTCCGGTAACAGGTAGATGCGAACATAGGGATCAGCTCCACTGCTGGTACATGGTGTCAGGTTTCTGATGTGCAGAGAAAAAGAGTGCCTGAGTACTCATTTACCAGACACTGGGGATTAGATGGGCTGGAGGATTAAAAGTCTCTGTACTCAAACAAAAGGCAAAAGCCTACAGAATTAAAGGACAAGATATCGGCTGAGTTTTTGTTTTTGAACATTTTTGTGCTGTCTGGGATAGAGCCAAGAACTTTGTACCCAAGGAAGTTGGGGGTTCCTGCTTAGAAAACCTGCTTGCGCTTGGCCACCCCGAGACAGTTGTGAGTCTGAGCAGAGCCTTGACTCTTGAGCCCATCAGTGCCAACAAAGAATGGCCACTCAACATGGCCCTTTGAGGATTTTTGCCACCCATGGCCTGTAGGTCCTCAAATGTCACTTAGGAGTATATGACTCTTGTCATCACCCTAAGCAACCCTGCTATATGGTCACCTGATACTTCCAAAGGACCTCTATGGTCCCAGAATCTCCTTACCTGCACCCGTTGATTAGCACTCTGAGACAGTGTCGAAGGCACACATAGCGCACTGTGAGTTGAATCTCACCCAACCGTCGCTGCCTAGGATCCCCATCTCTGTAGGAAAAAAGGGGAGCGTGTCACAGTAAAAACTGTCCTTCTCCTTTCACCTGAAGATAGAGAAGGATGACTACGTGAGGAACACAGGCTGGGTCAATAATTCTCTTCAAGGTTCCATCCAGCATTCAGTGCAATTATTCTACTTCTCAGCAGAAAGCATAACAAACTCTAGAATTAGCCCTTATATCCTGACTGCTTGTGGGGCTTGAGGGAATTGGGATTTTATAATGGTCTCCTCTGTCTTGTAGGGTTATAAGGAAGATTGAATTACATCAGATAACCTGCTAAGCCATAGGAAGCACTTAATACATGGCAGCCACTTATTATGTAAGTCTACATTCTAAACTTTTCATGTCATCTCTCTATATTCAGAATTCAGGAAAGTTTCTATGGAAGGGACCTTAACAACTGAAGTCATTATGTAGCCAGAACTGTAGGCCAAGAGTAGGGCTTGCCCTCTTACCCCATGTTCTTCCTACTAGTCCAGGCTGCCCCTTGTAAAGACATATTGTGAAAAACCTGGACTTGTACAGGTCTGTAAGTTCCTATCTACTCTGCCATTCAAGAACCTACTTTCCATGCAGGTTATATTAGAGAAGATCAAGCAGAGAGATGCATACACAGTGTTGAGGCTGACATCTGTCAGGTCAAAGCAGGAAGAGGCCAGGGAGTTGAGTGAGGACATGCTGGGAGCCAGCCTTGTGGGTGGCCATGCGAATGGGAAGGCAGGGCGGCTCATGGGTCTGGGTGACTTGATGGGCCCAGGGGAGTGGGGGCCTGGGACAGTCAGGAAGATGGTAGCTGGGCTCCTCTTCTTCCCCATGGACTCACAGAGTCCTTTGGCACTGTCCTTGCCTTTGGGCTCCAGGCCTGTCTCTTGGGGCTCAGGCTCAGTGGCTTTGGTCATAGCACTGCTGGTATCGGTGCTCTTGGAGGCTTCCTTGATGTCAGAGGCAAGATCCGAGGCACTTGTCACATCTGCAGGGTCTTCTCCCTGGGATGGGGTTTTGTGTCCCTGGTTGGTGGCCACCTTCTTGATGAACAGAGGGCCTTTCTTTACAGCATCGGGCCCAGTATATGGGCTTCCCAGTTCTCGTTCCTCCACACGTAAGAACTGGAAGCAGATCACAGGGTTGGGAACAGAAGGTAAGGTTGAGGCATGGATCAAAAATAGAAGAAGAGTCTAGTATGGAAGTTCTAGAAGGAAGGATTAGATGAATGGGAGAGGCAGGGTTTGAAGCAACCAAGAGATGATGGCTGATACATTTTATGAAAATATCTCTTGGCCCCAAAGAGGCTGAACTTTTGGTAGACCTCACAGCAAAGTTACTCATACCCTTGAGAGCACTTAAGACATAAACCTCTCTCCTGACTTCTGCATTCAGCAGATACTCACTCAGGCTTGAGGCCTGTTCCACGCCAGCCCTGCCCGCCAGGAAAGGAGATATTTACCCGAAGCACCAGCCTCATGGAGATGAGGCTGTCCAGGCCCGAGTGATCCAGCTGGAAGCGCTGTTCAAGGGTGAGGTCGGCACAGGGGAGGATCTGGCACAGGGGAAATTCCAGCACTCCCAGAGCACACTCCAGGTCATCATCCAGCACCTGGGCAGTGAGCCAGTCACAAAACCAGGGGAGAGCTGAGCCCACTACGCCACCACTGCCATCTGGCCCTGGTGAGTCTGAGCTTACTTCAGTAAGTATTGCACTGTGGAGCAATTAGCATCTGGTGCTATTCAGCGGATGAGATTGGCAACAGACCAGACCTTGTACCTGCCTGGAGTCTAGGGAAGGGAGTGACTCGGAGTAGAGGTGACCGAGGTCTGCGTGAGGCCAGTCTGGCATACACCCAGGGCCAGTGGGGCTTTTGTGCTGCAGTATGGTGGGGCGGTTAGGCTCAGTTCAGGGCTCAAAATGATGCCATTCAGCTCCAGCACTTGTAGGCCATGCATGCTTGGGCAGATGGTTGCTTTAGCTCTATTTGCTCATGTCAAAAGGAGGGCATTCTTCTGCAGATCTTTTGTAAAGACTCGAGTCTAGCCCAGGACCCTCCCACTGTGCAACCATGAAGACCGCTGCAAGGAGAACTAGAGAGCTCCCAGCATCCCCAGCGCCCAGCTTCAAGCAAACCTTCAGGCAGAGCTGCTCGGCTTCCACACTGTGCACGAAGAAGGAGAAAACCTGGCTCCACACCGGGTCCTTGCTGTGGGGGCAGGTCTGAGAACAGAGAGAGGTCAGGTACAGCCGGGTTCAACATGCTCTGCTGTGTGTGACCACCACCGGCCGTGAGGAACCAGGGGACAGCCAGTGTGACAGGAGAAGCATGCTTCAGACCATGCCCCAACGTAAACCCTAATTCTGCTGCCCCTTTCTTGGTGGAGTCACTTAGCTCTGTAGTTTTTAGGTTTTGAATGAAAAGGCCACATAGGGAGGGAAGTCTGAAGGCTTTCTAGGCATTCAGGGTGGGAGTTCCCTTCACTATTCCTCTCCTTAAAAAAGGGGTGGCAGTGCCATTTCCTTACCTCAGGCCTAAACACGAACTGTCTTACCTTACTAGTAAAGGTCTTCTTGCCTACAGATAGCTTGACATACGAAGAAGGGTCTCTGCTGGCTTTATTCTGTAAGGGGAAACCCACAATGTTTAAAGTCATGTTTTCAGGGGGGAGCCAAGACAGCTCACCTTTCCCCATGCTCACTCCTCCCTGTCAGGCATGCTAACAGTTGTAGGGCAGCTCCTGTTGGTGAAAGATCTGCCTAGTGTTCAAGCCTCCACTATGGCCCTAGCACTGTGTGGGACTAACCCTGAGGAGGAACCCTGAGCTGCAGACCAGAGACCAGAACTAGAACAAACATATCCAGTTCCATCTTCCACTATGCCCAGGCCCTCCACCTTCTGGGTCCTTTTTATAAAATGGCAACCACTCTTGCCCAAAACAAGAAAACCTGGAATACATCATTATGGGACTTCAGAACAATGAATCGTCAAGCCTAATACCTTGCAGAGTAGACCCAGTGAGCCCAGGCTGTGTGACAGACAGGTCCTGGCTGTAGTCACTTTAGGGAAAAGGAGTCAGCTTCTCAGCTATATGCACTTACTTTGGCAAACCTGGAGAGTTTTTTGGCTCGGTATTCACCATTCAGGTAGTCAAAAGGGTTTCTCTGCAGCACAAAAATTGGGGTTAAAGCAACACATGGGCATCTTGCTGTGGCGAGTGTAAGGCAGATGGGTACCATGACTCACCGGCAGGTTGCAGGCATTTTCTAAGAAGACCACAAGGATGGCGGAGGAGTGGCCATCATGGTCCTGCAAACAGACACGGCCCTCACTGAATACTCCCAGAACCAGAAGACAGGCAGGCTTTGGAAAAGTCTACTCAGGGCAGAAGGAAGCCAGCCAGCCCACCACTAACAACCTAGCTTTATGTTGGCTGAGAACACATCTGCAGCAGCATAGGTTCATGTTAGACAGAGGTAGATATCCCTATGAAACTGGATGACACCGAGCTCTAAGGACCCATCTTTCCTGAAAATGAAGTTCAGAGACTGTTTACTGAGAGAGGTGAGGAAGCTGCTCTGGTGAGAAGAAGAGCTAGACTATCATGTTCGCTAGGAAATGAGCAACAAACGGAGCCTCCTTGCCTCTCCCTGCACACAGTAGGTCATAGTGGGGTATTTCCTGTCTCTATTGACCCATTAGGCAAAAGTGGACACTCTTCTCCTCTGCCTGCACACAGTAGGTCATAGTGGGGTATTTCCTGTCTCTATTGACCCATTAGGCAAAAGTGGACACTCCTCTCCTCTGCCTGCACACAGTAGGTCATAGTGGGGTATTTCCTGTCTCTATTGACCCATTAGGCAAAAGTGGACACTCTTCTCCTCTGCCTGCACACAGTAGGTCATAGTGGGGTATTTCCTGTCTCTATTGACCCATTAGGCAAAAGTGGACACTCCGCTCCTCTGCCTGCACACAGTAGGTAGAAGTGAGTCTCCTCCGCTGACCATCCTTTCTGTGACGGATCCATTGTTGGCCACTCACCTCCATCAGCGCTCCCTGGTCAGTGAGCAGGGACAGCCACTCCACCCGCAGGTGCAGCCTCCCACTGGTGGTGTCATTCAGGACAAACCACTGTGGGGCGGAAGGAAAGGAGAGCTCAGGATGGAGACGCGCTACTCACAGATGGGGACTGCTTAGTTTTCATACTAGGGAAAAGATTAACCATCCCAAAGAGGGCACAGCACATGCAGCGGGACTGGCAGGTGTGGGGCAGAAGTCTTACACTTGGGGGTAGGGAAAGCCAGCTCCAGCCTGCCTTCCTCTCTAACCCCAGCCCTAAGGTCCTCCCTGGAGTCATCTGGACCTCATCACCCATTGTCCCTGAGGAGGAGTATGGGTACAGCCCTGAAGAGAGCGGACCCATCGCATAGGGCCAGATGGTTGAAGTGACCTGCTAGAGCCATGCAGTGAAAGGGGTGTCCCGGGACCCCCGGGGGGCGGGGGGACGCCACCTCTACCTCATCTACCACTCTGTTGGTCATGACATCTCCAAGGCAGATCTGCAGGCTGGAAGACAGGGAAAGAGTGAAAACAAGCATAGCCAGAGCAGGCCCTGGGGGCACACACTGACTCTGTTCTCAATGAGTGGATGTGGCCACTGGGACAGAGTAGACCATTTGCAGCTCAGGAGAAGGGAGGGACTAGCTAACCTTATGCTCCATTGGACTTATGCTGTGGGGAGGGAGTGGCTCCCCGCCCCAAAGGGGACAAGCAGAAGTCTGCATTCATCACTTCTGGGTTTTTCAACAACACAGATGTTGGCATGTTGAGTGGGGTGACTCTTCATTGTGCAAAACTGTCCATGCATCACAGGAATTTGGCTTTCTGGCTGAACCTGTGCCATCTAAATGCCAGAGGCTCTTTAACAGTCAGATGCCCCCCTGACTTGAAAACTGGTACCAGTGCCCTGCAAGTGGCACTAACTGAAGATATATGTATGTGTGAGGAAGCCCGGAAGTCCCATACCACAATGTTCCCCTAGCCTATCATGAGCCAAACCCAACCTGTAGGTCTTGCCAGCCAGAGGGAGGATGCGGTTCCTATGTGACTCTGAAGTGTGCATGCATTCACCATGGGCCTGAACTCAGCCTCACTTCCCACCTGCAACACTAAAACTGGAGGCTCACCACGAAGAAACTGGAAGTGAGGGGTACCCGGCAGTGAGCTCTGTTTTTCATTTACTTGGTCATGTTTAAACTTGTTATACCTCCATACTCAGGGAAACAAGCTGCATACTACAGGGCATAAGACTTGAGCTGCTTCTTCACCTGCCTCCGGCTCTGAGCTATGTCACCCCCTCATGCTCCTCTTCTCATACACTGGCAAAAATGCATCCTGGCCCCTCTTCTGGAGGCTGGATCCCACTGCACTGTGCCCTTCCCTGATCGATAGCACACCACAATGGCCCTGTTCACTACACAAGCTCTGTACCGAATATTTTTTACAGAAAGGCAAATGCAGTCAAGCATTCAGCTAGTGTCTTCCATGGGAGGGGACGTTATGTGGTCATAGAAACTTTGACAGTAAGCATTTACGGGCTAGCACCTTTATAGGTGACTCCTCAAGGCAGAACCTGTCTAGACTAAAAGTGAGATTCTGCCAAGCAGTCCATGGGGTCACTTCAGTCCTTCCTCCGCCTTGAGTTCTGGGTATCAGCACGTGGGGAGTACCTAGTCATCATGTCACCTTACTCACTGTTCCAAATGGGACTCTGGGTAGATTCTCAGTGGGGACCTGAGCCGTGGGGTCCACTCTGTATTACCCTTCTCCTCCAGGGCCTAGGTTAGGGCTGCGGACACCTGGGGAAGTTTGTAACAGGACTGCACAATGCTAGAGCAGACTGCCTGGTACAGTCGCTCTTGTCACGGTGGCCACAGAGAGCTGAAGTCACTGAGCAGTGAGGCCTGTGCCCTCTAAATGCCCCAAGGTCCAGCCTTGTATCCCAGTGAAGCAGTGAAGAAGCTCCAAAGCCCAGATCCCCACCCCTCACCTGCCCAGGAAGTCATCCTTGTCTGTATCCTCGTCATACAGGTCCACCTCCAGGTCCTGCCCAGGCACTTCATATACCATGAACTGCAAGGAGAGAGAAGCATCTTGCCCCACAGGTCTTGACTGCTGAATCAGTCACACAGTCTAAGCCCAGCTTAGGGCCCTGCCTATAAGGAAGCAGAGGACCAGATACCGCACAAGCTCAGTGTAGCACGGTGCCCAGAGGACACTGGCTGCCATCTGTCACATTCTCCTCACCTGGGGGCTGTGGGGCATCAGGAAACTAAGCTTCCCTTTCTTATCCCGCTTCCACTGCCCGGGACTAGACATAACAGGGCGTGTAGACAGTGATGTAAGGAAAGGGGCACTAGGAGGTGGCCCTGAAGCATGTGACTGACAGGCCGTCGGTTCTACCCCTCCGGCAACAGGCAAGGCTGGGAGCCATAGGAAATGCCTGTGCACTGTTGCTTTCCTTCCACTTGAAAACACCCAACAGGCGATTCTTGTGGGGAAAGGGCACAGAAATCAGGGTCAGAATAGCCTGCCTGCTAGACAGGGCTTACAAAGACCTGCCTGCTCATTAACAAGTCTCTTCCCCAACCATGGTTTGCCTGTTGGGCCATGAGAATCGCTGTGCTCATCAAAGCCCATGGTGAATGAAGCCTGGAGACACTAGGACTCCCCAGACAGACTGAAGAGAACCTCACCTCAAACACTTCATTCCAGGTGGGGTTCAGGTTCTTGTAGACGGTCTTGCTCCGGCAGTGCTGCAGGCCAATGCTCACTTTGGCATACGGATCTGACTTGCCTCCAAGCCCTAGGAAGTTGTCCTTCTGGGCCAGCTTCTCAGCCTCCAGCAAATGGACTCTGATCACCCCCTGAGAAACACCCATGACCTGGGTCACAACTGCCTCCTTGACTTGACAGCCTCAAGTCCAGGATCCCAAGGCCAAAGCCACCAGAGGTCATTGCTGACCCTTCCACAGTATGAACAAAGATGGCAGCCGGAGATAACAGTGACCTAGCCAAGGCCACATAACAGTTGGTGGCAGGGCCCACTGCTCTGCCCAAGGCTCTGGCCTTCCCACACACTCTTCTAGACTCGACGTGAGCAGCTGGTTCAGCTGAGGCTGTTTCTGTCCCTCCTTCCCTCACTGTGGTGACATTTTGTAATCTAACAAACCTTGCCTGAAGATCAGAATGCAGAGCTAAGCCACTAGTTAACCACACACCTAGTTAAGAGCTAAGCCACTAGTTAGCCCTAGAGGACAGGCAGTGGTGGCCACACCTTCAATCCTAGCACTTGGGAAACAGAGGCAGATGGATCTCTGTGAGTTCAAGGCCACCCTGGAATACATAAGACTGAATCAGTCTAAAACAGATACAGAGCTCACACCTTTAATCCAGCATTAGAGAAAATATAAGGCAGAAGTCAGTGCAGTCTGAGAGACTTCATTCTGAGGATTGGTGGAGACAGGATCACCCTTCAGTCTGAGGTAGATGTAAGAGCTAGTAGCTGGCTGCTTATCTGCCCATCAGCTTGAACCCCAATATCTATCCCTGTTTTTTTATGATCTGTGCTACACTTCAGTACTGCTGTGAAACTTGTACATAAACTGAACACTAGGGATACTCCAGGCAGCATGCTGTGGGCCTGCCTGCACTGGTGGTAGGTGTCTATGTGTAAATGCCCTGAGTATCACCCACCATACTCCCACTGCTGAAAAGAAATGCAAAGCCATTTGGAAAGTCACAGTTCCTGAGTCTCAGGGTATGCCTCTTTCCTAGACCAATACTTTTTAAACCGTCAGTTAATACACATTTTCTTTGATCTCCAAAACAACTTTGGGGAATCTATCCATGGGTACACTGGCCAAAATCATAAGAGATCTGCACATGGGCTGCTCATTGCCCTACTGCTTATAGCAGCAAAGTCCAGACACAACCTGACTATCCATCAACAGGGCTGTGGTGCAGTGATGGTAACTCCCACAGTGAAGTACTTTGCAGCCATCGGCAGGAATGCAGAAGGCTCTATCCGTACTGTGGCAGTGGGGTTCTGTGATAGATTTAGCAATAAAAGCAAGGAAGGGAAATAGTACATTAACACCTATCAAAGAAATGGGGGCCATGATAACTACCACTTAAGGCCTTTTCTACTGTAGAAGCTTCCTAAAGCATGTACACACACACAGTTACTCAGTAACAGTAGGGTGACGGTGTCCCTACTTCCCCGGCTAGCAAGAACTCAGGTACCAGGAAGGGGTTCCTCTGTGGGAATTGTTGGCTTCACAGACTCCCAAACATTACAGGTTATTGCCAATGCTCTTGTTTACCTCCAGGACTTGATAAGACCCTTGTGATGATGTAGAAGAAAATGGCCCCCAAAGAGAGTGGCACTATAAGGAGGTGTGGCTTTTTGGAGGAAGTGTGTCACTGTAGGAACAGGCTTTGAGGTTTCTTTTGCTCAAACTTCCCACAATGTGACTTTCATTCAACTTCCTGTGGCCTGCATATCAAAATGTAGCCAGTATCATGTCTGCCTGCATGATGATAATGGACTGAACTCTGTAAGTATGCCACCCCGATTAAATGTTTTCTTTATAAGAGTTGCCGTGGTTATGGTGTCTCTTCACAGCAATAAAAACCCTAAGACAACCCTGTTGCTGAAGATATCATATCCCCGAGTCATGGAACTTGGAGAAATTAGGCTGGCACTGATTTCTGGAAGCTTCATTTTCTACTTTCATGGAGAGAAAAGTGATCAGTCTTACCCAGCTGTGACCCCTGAACGCTGCAAGAATGACTGGCAATACATGTCCACTGGTGCAATAGCAGCACAAATAGCAGAGAAGTAAACAACCACCTTCCGACTGAACTTAAGGTTCACTCCACAAAATGAAATCCATACCTGGGACTCATTGGTTTCTAGACTCTATAGTTAAACAGGCCAGGGCTGCAGAGGAGAATATACCACTATTCTGCTAAATGAATGCAGTATTAAACTGACTCCCAATGACTTACTGTTATACCCGTATATTAGAGCATCTCTTGGCCCTCACCAGAACTACTTTTTGCAGTGGATGGTGATTAGCACAGAGACCATAACTCACCAAGGTGCAGAAAATGAGAGACTGGAATGCTCAGCCCTAAATGGGATATATCACAACCCAGCTCAGAGATCATTGTGGAAGAGGAAAAATTGTGAGAGTCAGAGGTGATGGGTGACTACAAAGAAATAGTATTTCCCAGACATAGCAGGGGAGCTGCATATGTGAACTCACAGTGGTTGTGGCAGCGCGCCCAGGACCTGTGCAAGCTCAAACAAAATTCCAGGGAGACAGAAAGGTTATAATCTACTGGCAACTACCAATTTCCGGTAGCTCCTCAGCTAATTGGACTGGGCCTCCATGGCCTTTGTGTCCATCTCCCCTCTCTAAAATAAACTAATGAAATTCTCAAAAAATGAATCAAAATCTAAGAAAGAAATGGGGACCATGAATATAAACAAAGTGCACACATATGACTATGTGTCTGTGCCCACATTTACTAACACTCACATACAATGGGAGAAAACCATTACTTACGTGGCAGGGGGTGGGGGCAGGGGTTGGGGGAAAGGAACAAGGAGTGGTGAAACTCTTTAAGATGCAGTTTTGGTATTGACCTTTAGAAACACATAGCTATATTATAATAAGAAATTAAAAAGTAAAACTTGAAGATAGAGAATGATGAAATAAATGTAAATATTCACGACCAGTTACCAAAAACACATAGAAGCTATCCCCCAAAGAGTTCTAAATGTGGCAAATTGTCAGTGCATTCCTAGTGGAATATGCGCATTTGAGAACATGTTTTTAGCAATTCTTGCATGGGTGAGATGGTGTTTACATTGCTACAGGACTGCTGCATACGTAATATAATGAAAGCCAGTGAGCTGCCATGGGAAGACTTGGAGGTCCACGCTGCCACCCCACCCAGCCCGGACCCCTGAACTCGTGTGCACTACAGTGTGTGTCAGGCTGAGCGTGAGCAGAAGGCCTGAGGCTCTTCACCTGGCAGAGGGAGAAATAGATACATTTTCCTCTTCCAGGGTCCCTAAATGAAGCCCCTTAGCCAGTGCTACTTTTTGTAGGGCAGCCATAGGGCAATCTCCAGGGGCCTCATGAATGGACCTCAGGAAAGTTGGGGGAAATGGGCTCAGTTCAGAACCCAAAGAATTCGCATCCTGGTTCAACCATGAACCTTCTATTTCTATAGATGCCAAGGTCCTTTCCACCACTAAACAGAGTCAAAGGAGCCTTCCTGAGGAGGAAGGGTGTCATGGAGTGTGGAAGTCACACATCCTTCCCAGCCGCTGGCCCCCTGTGAAATGGGTTGCCCTGGCTCATACTAGAGGATGACAATGGCCACCAATGAGCCCTGTTCAGAACCCAGCCCTGGCCAGCGTCCCTCTTCATTGGCCCGATGCTCTGGAGCCGGCTGCCTGCTGGTACTCACGCAGGGCAGAGGGAAGCGCAGGGTGGTTATATCCAGCCCCTTCTTCACAGGCACAGTCACACGGTTGGGCAGCACCAGGTGGGCGGCGATGAGGTCTTCCAGCAGGCTGTCTGACACATCACTACAACATCAAGCATGACCAGTTGTGGAGGGGTGACATTGCTTCCCCGAGCCACCTGCCCTGTACCCATCCTCAATGCTGGCACTGGGAGACTAGCTTGGCAGAAGGCTCCAGCAGAGAGACTACACTTATCTCTTCCTGACCAGCTGCTGGGTTCCAAGCAGATACACATTGTGAGATGTGGACATATTGACCCAAGAAGCAGCATCCTGCTTGCACTCCCCAACCCCAATTTAAAAAAAAAGGGGCCCTGCTTTGTTCCCAGGCAACACGGCACTTTAAGGACAGATCCCAGGCCTAGGTCAAGATTCCCATTCTTACTCCCTAGCTGCCCTGGCTCAGATGGGTGTCCCCGTCCCTTGACATCAGGGTCCTGACACAGGGTTGCTAATGGCTGCACCTGGAGTGGATGCGAGGGGAGTGGTGGGTACAGCATGGAGAACAGTGCTGAGGTCACAAGACCCAACAGCTGGCCACTGAAGCCTTTCTCCTCCTTGACCCTGTGACATTCTCTGTTCCTTGGCTCACCTTCCCCCGAGGGAGGGGGAAGGGGGGCTGGGGGGACAGTACCCAGAGAGCAGGACCAGCACACAAAAGGTGCTCAAAAAGTCTCCTTTGAATTATAGCGCATGACTGCTTAAATGGGACATCCGCATCAACCCCCTTGCCAAAGTTCAAGGAGCACCATGGAGGAGGAGGGAGAATGGGGAGCCAGAGGACAGGGTAAGTTACATGCTGGCTCCTGGACATGCCATGGCTATCATACTCATGAACTCGGAGCAGCTGTGGTTACCTGCACAGGACGTACACAAGACCCAAGCAGTCAAAATTTAAGGCTAAATGGGGAGGAGCTCTCCAGGCCTCACCAATAACTGAGAACCTTTTGGCAATGGACAGCTGTTGGTAGAGGGAGAATCATTCCTGAGGGTGTGGCCACTGGTGGATTTTCCTGTGCTTAAGTAGATGGACCCTCACTCGTGCACATATAGGCAGCATTAATTGGACTTCACGGGTTATTTAAAATAAAAATAAGAAGGGGACATGAAGTTGGGAGAAGGATGTGCTGGGGGGGGGCAGGGAGAGTTAGAGGAGGAAGTGAAAGGTGGATAGATTTCATTGCATGTTTGAGATTTTCAAAGAATGGAGGAAGAGGTGCAGGGACTGGATTCGCTCCATTGGGAACAGTGAGATCAGAGGGGACAAGCCAGTGAGCACATGGGTGGCCCTCCTTGGATCCTAGAGAGACAGCCAACAGCTTTCCTGACCAGTCCAGATGTCCCTCCATCCCGGGAAGGCTGGGAAATGCCCCCTTCCCATCTCCGTGCCTGTCAACCACGGTCACAGGAGCCACCTGGGCTTCTCAGTGCACTGGGGTAGTGAAGGGTGAAAGTGAGGACACTCACCACACAGTATGATTCTACCATACATATGTGCGTGTGTGTGCTCTGGGAACCTCAGCAGGAATGTGTGCACCTGTCCACAGGTTAGTCTTCCCCAACAACACATGAACACACACACACACACACACACACACACACACCAGTACTTGCCCCCTTTTCCCACTGCTTCTGCAGGGTGGGGTAGAGGGTGTAGCCTCTGTGCTGCTCACAGCACGGTAAGGACTCCAGGGAGCCCGCCCCGCCCCCCCAGGCACTTACTTGATACCTGGCATGTCCAGCAGGTTGGTCAGGCCTGTCCAGTTGATCTGAAGGTGCTGCAGAGGGCAGAGGGAGGCTGCTAGGCTCAAGAAGCTGGGAACCCAGGACTGATACCTTTCTCCAAACTCCTCATACCCCCCCCCAAAGGGAGAAGCCCACTTGCTAGGGTGCCCCTGCTGCAGGACTGAGGTAGGGGAGATGTCTCTCAGCCTGTTAACTCTGCCCTGGGGCATGGGAGAGTATCCCAGCTAGCTTTATCAACTTGACACAGCTTAGAGGCAGCTGAGAAGCTTCAACTGAGGGATTTTCCCCTATCATACATAGGAGGGTGCCTCGATTGTTAATTGATATAGGCGGGCTCATCCACTGTGGGTGACACTATCCCCTAGGTAGGAGGGGCCTTGGGCTGAATAAGCAAGCTAGGTAAGCTTGAGACTACGTGAGCTAGCAAGCAGATTTCCTCCCTGGTTTCTGCTTTAGGTCTCTGGATTCCTACCCCGACTTCCCTCAGTGACGGACTGTTATCCATAAGCTGAGACAAACCCATTCCTCTCCCAAGTAGCTTCTGGGCAGTGTTTGAACACAACAGAATGAAACTAGAACAAGGCCCCAGGCCTTAGCTGAGGCAGGTCAGGCCTGCTGCTTCGTGCCAGGACCACCAGAGAAGGGGGCTGTGCCACACAGCCCGGTTGGCCACTTCTCAAGAGCCCAGGTTTGTCTCAGCTCCATTCCTGACCTTGGAACCCTCTTCCAGCTCAGCTCTCATCATGGGCAGAGCTCAGTCTAACTCCCCGAGGTCACCTTAAGGACCCAGCTAGGTTTGGGCCATAGGCGTCCAGCGTGGTGGATTGAAGCAATGTCCATTCTCTGCCTAAATCCCAATATGTGAGGTCTGATGTCGGCTCATGGAGAGCTCCAGGCCTGTCCCTAGGCTTTGAGCTCACCGGCTTTTGAAGGAAAAATATGGTCACAGCTCCCACAAAGGGCTTGTCCACCAGCAGGGGCTCCAGGATGATACGAAGGGTACCCTGCAACTGTGAGACAGAGTTGTGAGGGAGGGACCAGACCTCTTCTCAGACCCGCCACTCAGGTCAGTCCTCCATGGTTTCCTTATCACTCACGTCACCCTCCCTCACTGTCAGGATGACCTGCCTAGGTCACTTGCTGTCACTGAAGGGACCATAGTTCATGTTCAGGGACTTGGACATAGCTAGGACCCCACTGCTGGCCACCAAAGGCCACGAACTAACTACACTGTGGTGTGTGGGCAGCTGGGGTGGCTGGGACACAGAAGTGACTTCCAAATCTGCACACAGCTTCTATAGAGGATGTGTCCGCCTCCCAGGCCTACCTGGGTCTCAGCTACGGCACCCTCTCACTTCCCTAGGCAGATGCAGATAAAACTTGACACAAGGCGGCTCAAGAGCCCAAGGTCCAGCAGGCTAGTGAAGCCCAGCACCACCTGCTGATTTTTGTGACCTCACAGCTGCCCCTGTGTCACCAGCCCTTGCCTGGTACCATTGTGTCCTTCACAGCGTGTTCCAGCGTCGTGGGAATTTTTTTTTTTGGTTTTTACGAGACAGGGTTTCTCTGTATTGTTTTGGAGGCTATCGGTCCAGCCCAGTCTCGAACTCACAGCGATCCGCCTGTCTCTGCCTCCCGAGTGCTGGGATTAAAGGCGTGTGCTACCACCGCCCGGCGGGAAATTATTTTAAGGTGTTACTTTTGTTTATGCTGGGGAACATTTGTCTAATGATGCAAAGATGTGTTGCTTTTGTTTATGCTGCATTTGTTTAACTCTGTGAAGCTGTGTTACTGTGCCTGTCTAAAACACCTGATGGCCTAACAAAGCGCTGAATGACCAATAGCGAGGCAGGAGCAAGGACAGGCGGGGCTGGCAGGCAGAGAGGATGACTAGGAGGAGCAAGTAGAGGAGGACACTAGGGGCCAGCTGCCTGGTCAGCCACGGAGTAAGAGTGAAAGTAAGATATATAGAAGAAAAGGAAAAAGCCTGGAGGCAAAAGGTAGATGGGATAATTAAAGATAAGAAAAGCTGGCTAGGGCTGGAGAGATGGCTCAGAGGTTAAGAGCACTGACTGCTCTTCCAGGGGTCCTGAGTTCAATTCCCAGCAACCACATGGTGGCTTGCAACCATCTACAATTCAATCTGATGCCCTTTTCCGGTATGTAGGCAGAACACTGTATATGTAATATATGTATATGTATATGTAATAAATAAATTTAAAAAAAAGAAAGAAAAGCTGGCTAGAAACAAGCCAAGCTAAGGCAGGGCATTTGTAACTAAGAATAAGCCTCTGTGTGGGGTTTATTTGGGAGCTGGGCTGTGGGCTCCTCAAATGAACAAGGAGTAATAAGCAGCATTCCAGTGTGAGCTGCTTCCATTTCCCTGGCCCACTGCGGGGGGGGGGGGGGGGGTGCTGGAGCAGCCATCATGGCACCCTCACTCACCTGGATGCCATTCACACCTGCCCGGATCTTCTGAAGCTCCACGCTGATCTCACAGTCCCCAATGTAGCTGAAATAGGGAGGGTGATGAAGACAGGACGGGGGCGGGGCTCCTGCTCAGAGCAGGCAGGAAACTTGCCCAGTGATTTGCAGCCTCAGCCCTCATTGTTGGCCATCGAGTCTCATGTCACTTTTTCCGTAGCCTCAGCCTTCCTGGGCCCCTCCCAGACTCCTACACCTAGCATCTTAGGCACATTCCCACCTCTGCCTAGGAAAGCAGGGCTTTGCACTACCACCTCATCCCAGGGCACCCATGGATGAAAAGGATGGACTTGTGGGAAATATATTGTTCCTCTACCACTTCCGTATCCCCACCAAAGGGACGCATGTGCACCGCCCCCAGGTTCATCCCGCCATCGCCCCTAGTTGTTGCTGGAGGTTGAGGTAGGTGATAAAGCCTTGGAGACAGGACCAGCTGGCGGCCCCTGTCAGGTGATGGGTACAAAGGAGCCCAGAATGGGTGTCTTTGAGGGTAAAGGTCAGGAGACTGCCAAAGGTTTGAAGGAGGCTAAGGGGAGGTGACTGTCACACACCCGCACACCTGGGCGTACGAACTGCTGTTGAAGGCGCATACGCCCAGGGACAAGCAGAACAGGGTGACAGGGGTGCCAAGCACCACCCAAGAGGCTGAACTATTCATATGAGAGCACAGCATCCGGGGTCGGGAGCACTTTGTGGTCTGCCACCATTCCGACACAATGGAGGCCAGCTCCTAAGTGGGTGGCCCCGGAACCAGCGTCTGTTTCTGGCCCAGGAATGAGAGACTCTGGGAAGGAATGACAGCTGCAGGGGCTAGTGCTGTCCCCTAACGCACCTTCAATGCCTCAGCACCTCCGGAGAGACTTACTGCTTGACTCTCCCTTCCTGGCCCAAGCCCATCATGAGCCTCACCGGAAAGGCATGCTCACGACCAGTGCGGAGTGCAGCCCACTGAACAGCCAACCCAGCTGACTCTCTGGTTTTCCCGACATGTCAGAGGCCAGCTCTCCAAACAGCTTTTCTCTGTGCTCGAAGCTCCCTGGCCTCAGCACAAGTGCCTGTCTCCTCTTGTCACACCCGCCCCCTCAAACCATCTCCTCTGCGGAGGCGGCACTGATGCTCCAAGTGGCCCAGCTGCGGCTTGCAAGAGAGTTCTGCCGCCCTGGCTGTGCTGTTCAGAGCAGCTAGGGGTGCAAGATGAGGCTCAGGCTGAAGAGTGAGCCAGGGCTGGCTATTTGAGACAAGTCACCCCATCCTCTTTTCTGCACCCCATCTTTTACAAAGACAGGGGTCTCGGAAGGCTTCAGCTGCTGACTAGAGTTACCCTGCCTGTCCCCAAGACTGCAGTTCTCACCAGATCTGCAGGTCCAGGGTCACTTTCCTTCGGTTGCCTTTGTCAGTGTGTGCCTTGACACCGTTCACCTTGGGGCACTGGAAGAGATGAGATGAAGAAGGGCTGTGGGTCCCCTTCTTGTTTTTCCTTCCTATCACAGCTACTGACCAGTCTGGAGAAGACACGGGGCAATGGGGGACACAGCTTGGCCTCATATGTCCACAGCCTAGCCCCGAGACAGTGGAATGGAAATAAGGAACAGCCACTCTGTTCCCCACCAGGAGGGACTTGGGGGACGAGAGTTTAACAGGAGTGTGACAAATGGGAAGGAGCTGGCCCCACACGGGTATGGTGAAGGCAGGGTCACTGGCTCAGGGATCCAGTCCCTCCTGTCTTCATCTCTCCCTCTGCTCACTGTTCTCTCAGGTACTCTAAGACTAATCAATAGTAAAAACTAAATTTCATTTGCACCTGAACTAGTAACACGCATGCCCACGTGCGGAGGTGGAAAGTTCACGGGCGTCTGCCTTTGAGTTTGGAATGCATTTTACAGAAAGATGAATATAGAAACAGATGCATGGACATAATAAATCAAACACAGCAAGATATTAAAATCTGTACAGTTGAGATAACAGATCTGTGATGTTCATTGAATAATTCATTAAACATTTTATATGTTTGAAAATTTTTGCAATAAGTGATTGAAAAAATTTAACCAGTTATAAAAGGAGAAGGGATTCTATTAAGTTTCTATTCACTCCATGGAAAGGGGCATTTTAAAATGTATTACTGGGGCTGGAGAGAGGGCGCAGTGGTTAATAGAATATGCTGCTTTCAGAGAAGACCAGGGTTTGGTTCCAGAACCTACATAGTGGCTCAGGGGTCTGCTGCCCTCCCCTCATTCCCCGGAGCCTCTGGCATGTGTGCGATGCATATAAACTCACTCAGGCATATACATAAAATCTAGAAATATATTAACCTTTGAATAGATTCTCAGACTATGGAGTTCATTAAAACAATGTTTTATCTGTACCGCTTGTTTTCTCACAATTAATATTCATTTTGTATTTTAGATTCTTTGTGGTACCTGTAATTGAGCCCAAGACCTTCCATGTGTTGGGCAACTTTGAATTTTATATTACCTTTTTCTTTAGAAGTCTCCAGAATTGTAAAAGCTGCTAAGGGCACCCACAGCTTGGCTCTGCCCTGGCTCATTGGAGTCTGGTCTGGGGGGAGGGGTACTGGGCTCAGTCACCATTTCTTGGGGCCTACTGGATTGCCTGGCATTTATGAATGTTTAGCTACCCCAATACCTCATCTTCAGGGATGATTAGGGTGTCCACTGTATGCCAGGCAGGATAGTCCTGGTTCAGGCTCACAGTTGGACAAGGGCACCAGACCAGAACGTGGCTTCCACATGCCAGACATTGTTCACACAGTTGCAGAAGCCATCTGAGGCCTGGCCTGTGGTCCATGCTTACGGCAGCCCTTAGAAATGGGTCCTTTCCTTTTATGTGTTAGGAAGCTGGGTCACTGCAGCACCGAGGACGCTAAAGACACTGGCAACTGTGAAAGAAGCAGGTAGGACAAATACACAGGGGTATGCTTGAGCCTGTCTAGGTCCTGGGAGAACACCACAGTCAGAGGGAGGAGGGGAAATGGGAGGATGAGGAACAGATGGGATGGGCAAGGCCAAGAACAGAAGGCCTTGAAAGGGCAGGATGGAGAGTGAGAGCAGTCGCCTGCAGGGCTAGAACATCTGGTCAACCTCCTCAGGCTCAGTGCCCAAGGGGTAGCCTGGGGTGGCACAGGCTCTGCTCTAAACTCAGCAGTATGAAGTCCCCCTGCTCTGCCTGCTAAATTTTCCCATAATTCAGACATCACTCCTTTTGGAATGCCTGTGGTCTCCACAGAACAAGTGTGAACTCCTAAGGTCTAGAACTACTTTGTGGCACTGTCATAAACCACTAGGCAGAGGTCACAGCTGACTTGGGGTTAGCAGTTACAACCTGCTCATCTCTCCATCTGGCTCCTTCCATGCATGTTTCTAAAATCTCTAGAAAAGGGGGTACTAGTTCCCCCAGCTTCTTTCTGCTCTCTGGCCCTCGCTTCCTTGGAACCTGGAAAGTTGGGTAGGGGGACAGGAGGCGAGAGTTGTGCACTGGAACTGATGAGCTGGGAAATGCAGGCAAAGGCTGTGGTTCTCTGAGGCCCAGTGGAGTCCTTGTAATCAAGTGACTGTCCTGGGTGGAAGAGAGGACAGAGAAAAGACTGCCCAGCAAGTCCAGGCTGACCTCACTGAGGGAGCACCAACCTTCTGTCCGAAGTAGAGCTTCGTGAAGGTGAAGGTCCTGAGGTGGGCACTCTTCTCCCGGATCTTGGGCTCCAGCTTCTCCCGCACCTTGTTCTCCATGATCATGCTTAGGTAGGGCCAGATCTGCGTGATGATCTGCAAGTAGGGACAGAAGCCCTCACAGGTCAGGTCTGTGCCCCCAGAATGCAGATCTGCAGCAGCCTAGATCCTCTGCAGCCTGGTCTCATGGGTGGAGTCCACAGTCTTCATGATGCCTGCCCATAGGCCTCCCACCTACCCATCCATCCATTCTGTAACACCTGAGGACAGCAGCAGATCACCTCTAGGCAGAGGGTTAGAGTTTTTCAGAGTACCATGGAAACACACTTATGTTTAATTCAGTAATATAAGGCCATCAACTCTGCCCCAAACACATCCTCTCTCTGCACTGCAGCTCATACACAGTAACATGCTAACTGTTTAAGAAAAAAACAGCAGCAGAGGAGATTGATAAATTGTTTTCTGTGAGTATAATTTCTACAAGCCAGAAAAGGTAGACTTTGGTCCATTTCTGTACCAGGATGAGTCAAAGGGCTGGTCTGAAAGTCATGTTTGGGACCAAGTTTCTCCTGATGCCAGGGCCTCATGTACCCATGCTCTAGTCCTTATGCAAATATCAAATTGCTTACACAAGCCCAGATGGTCTAGCCTACTACACACCCAGCTGATTGGTACAGCCTATGGCTCCTAGGCTACAAACCTGCCCAGCAAGTTACTGTGGTGAATACTGCAGGCAACCATGACACAGTAGGCAGTGTTTGTAAAAAGAACCAAGCCTAGAAAAGACATGGTTGAAACACTGGACAGGAAATGTTCAGCTCCAATTATAATCTATGGGACCACTATAGTATTTGGTTCATAGATGACATAAAAAAGATCAAAATTTGCCCAAAGGACATTGACACAATATTTTTATTCTTTACATTGTGTGTATGTGTGGGCTTGCACTATAGTACTCACGTGGAGGTCAGAGGACGATTACAGGAGTCTAACATGTATGTTGTAGGGATGGGCAAGCTCTCTCACTGGCAAGGCACAATGTTTTCAGATGACCTATAGACTGTTTTAGTTTCTTTTAGTAATGGCAACTTCCTATTGTAGTGGGAGTGAAGTGAAGATGTTGGGTAGCAAGGGCAAGTGACAGTAGTAGCAGGGGCTTTGGGCTTCAGGGTAAAGATGCTCCTCCTCCACTCTGCTCCTCCCTATAAGCACAGCAGAGCCTAAAGCTATATGGGACCCAGGGGCTTATGGTCTCTTTCTTGGAGGCCTTGCCTGCACCACCTTCCTGTGTTCTCCAGCGCTTGTGGCATCACCCTCATGTACAGTTCCCTTCACAGTTGCCTCCGTCCTCATCCTAACAGCCGCCTCCATGGTCAAGTAGCACTCAGTGAAGATGCAGGCTCTGCAGTGATCAGGGCCTGGCTGGCACTCACAGGAAGGGCTCTGCAGAGTATGGTCCTGAGGCCTGGTACCCAGTTCTTCACTACAGAACTCAGGTCACTCTTAAAGCAGTGAGCTGGGACAGCTTTTGATGCACTTGGCAACGGCCTTTGCAGGAACGTGAAATATCAATCTTAGATGAACAACTGTCACATGTGCTAACATCTGACCTAAGTGAGTGCCGCTATGGACCAAGTCTCCTCCCAGGGTTAAGTCAGAGAGTCAGGAGTCTACAGGAATGGGCTGCAGGGGACCCCTGATAGATCAGGTCAGGGGGTGAGACCTAAGCTTCTCATCTGGAAATTCAGGGTTCCTGATGCAGAACATGGAGCAGCTAGCCAGAACAAGGGGAGTTCCCGTAGACAACCTTCCACCAGTCACAAGAGTGACATACTCACCATGGGTTTGGGAAGGAATCATAACCACTCCCATTTTACAGATAATGAAACTGGCTCAGAGATGTTGGGCAAATTGCCCAAGGTTGTACACCAGTGGTTTTGTGGCAGGGCTGGGGGCCACATGGAACCCAGATGTTGTGTCTAACTAGTCTCTTCCTTTACTTATAAAATAATCTTGAGAGGAGGGAAATAAGGGCTGTTTTTTTCTCTATAAATTTTCTGTGTAATTTTAGTCCAGATATTAATTTAAAACTTACTTAAAGGAAAAACTTAAAGAGAAGAAAACTCTGTGAACCACTCAATGGAGGAACCAATGGGAGCTCGGCAGTGGAGGGCCTCTCCGCCCATCCCTAGCAAGGAAAGTGCAGTCTGAGGTTTGGGTCTGCACAGCACTCCTGCTGGGGTTGCCCAGGGACTCTGATGCTGAGTACCAAAGGGCTGCATGTGGGGTGCCCAGGCCTGCAACGGACCCAGCTCTTCCTGCCCACCAAAGGGCTGCATGTGGGGTGCCCAGGCCTGCAACGGACCCAGCTCTTCCTGCCCACCAAAGGGCTGCATGTGGGGTACCCAGGCCTGCAACGGACCCAGCTCTTCCTGCCCACCAAAGGGCTGCATGTGGGGTGCCCAGGCCTGCAACGGACCCAGCTCTTCCTGCCCACCAAAGGGCTGCATGTGGGGTGCCCAGGCCTGCAACGGACCCAGCTCTTCCTGCCCACCAAAGGGCTGCATGTGGGGTGCCCAGGCCTGCAACGGACCCAGCTCTTCCTGCCCACCAAAGGGCTGCATGTGGGGTGCCCAGGCCTGCAACGGACCCAGCTCTTCCTGCCCACCAAAGGGCTGCATGTGGGGTGCCCAGGCCTGCAACGGACCCAGCTCTTCCTGCCCACCAAAGGGCTGCATGTGGGGTGCCCAGGCCTGCAACGGACCCAGCTCTTCCTGCCCACCAAAGGGCTGCATGTGGGGTGCCCAGGCCTGCAACGGACCCAGCTCTTCCTGCCCACCAAAGGGCTGCATGTGGGGTGCCCAGGCCTGCAACGGACCCAGCTCTTCCTGCCCACCAAAGGGCTGCATGTGGGGTGCCCAGGCCTGCAACGGACCCAGCTCTTCCTGCCCACCAAAGGGCTGCATGTGGGGTGCCCAGGCCTGCAACGGACCCAGCTCTTCCTGCCCACCAAAGGGCTGCATGTGGGGTGCCCAGGCCTGCAACGGACCCAGCTCTTCCTGCCCACCAAAGGGCTGCATGTGGGGTGCCCAGGCCTGCAACGGACCCAGCTCTTCCTGCCCACCAAAGGGCTGCATGTGGGGTGCCCAGGCCTGCAATGGACCCAGCTCTTCCTGCCCACCAAAGGGCTGCATGTGGGGTGCCCAGGCCTGCAACGGACCCAGCTCTTCCTGCCCACCAAAGGGCAGCATGTGGGGTGCCCAGGCCTGCAACGGACCCAGCTCTTCCTGCCCACCAATGGCCTTACCTTATTGGCCCACTCCACACGCTCCACATCTGGGAAATGTATCTAGAAAAGAGAAACCCCAAAAGGAATTTAGGCAAGAGCCACATGCCCCCAGCAAGAGGCTTGGCAAGCCCTGTCCTGCTGCCTGGAAGGTGGCTCAGTGAGTTCTCACCCCTTGCTTCTGTGTAGGTCACAGGGTGTCCTCAGCACCCACTGCACACCTGCCCCTGCCTATTTGGGGCAAGTTTACTCTCCTAGCCCTGCTTTCATTTCACAGGAGAAGCCAGCTCCACAGTGCCGTCTCGGCCTGTGGTAGCCTGAGGAAGATTCTTTGCACTGGACATCCCCAGGTTCCCTGAGCTAGTAAGCAAGTTTGCACCTTACAGATTTCATTCATTCACTTCAAGGAGGCAAGAGATATACTCCATGTTAAAACAAAACACAAACACAAATGCAAAGCTTAGCTAAGCAAAGGGAGATTCAGAAGTTTATCAGAAAATGTCACCCCTCAGTGACAGCCATCTTTAACAGGGTGCCATTTCCGATGGCCACTAGGGGGTGGCTGTCATGAAGAATCTATCCTTTCTCCTTTCTCCTTATTTTCAGGAGTCCCACACAAGCCTCCCTCTCTCCAGCACAAAGGAACCCTCAGGCCTTGTCACATAGCCACATAAATTCCTCTAAGTCTCAGCCATTCTTCCTGCTCTTGGTGAGCTGGAGGGGCCAGCAGGGCTAGTGGGCCCCAGGTTGCAGGCTAACCTCTACACGGCTTGCCTCTATCCTCATGATATCCTCTGGATCTCTTAGTCCAAGCACCCACCTTCCTAACAAGGTCCTACACATTCCAGTTCCCAGGGTGTCGAACAGTCCCCCTGACACATCCCTGTTCTCTTGGACTGCCATTTGTTACTTCTAGTTCCCAAAGTAGAGGACAGATGTCCCTCTGGGTGTCTGATGGTTCTCCATTGTAGAACTCAATACACTTTACGACAGCCTCTTGGTGTCACCCTCTCTCCCTACCAGCCTGGAAATGTCTGGCTTCACGACAGCCTCTTGGTGTCACCCTCTCTCCCTACCAGCCTGGAAATGTCTGGCTTCCTGCTGCAGCCTGGTCCTAGCATAGGAATGTCCCATTAAACACTCATGGAATGAAGTGACATGGAAGAACACTGATTGAATGTGTGCAGGCATGAAGGTTAGCTTCTTGCCCTTGGGGCTCAGGCTGATGAAGGAGACAGGTAGAGAGCAGACCACCTGGGCACAGGGTCAGGACTGAGACAGGAGGAAGGGACCAGGAGGAGAGAGTTTGGCTTCAGCCCGGTCCTTGATGGTACTGCCTCTTTGCTGGACCATTCCCTCTCCATCCCAAGCTACCATACTTCCTGCCCTAGCACATTCTAGGCGTGGATCCTTCCACATTCCCAGCCCAGGTGGGTCTCCATCGTTGGGAGCTGAGTTGTTCTGCCTCTGGACCCTGGAGGTCGATCCAGTTTGGCAGGTCCAATGCTGGTCACCCGTGGGAGCTGGTCAAATGTCAGTTCCTAAGCCTGGCACCTCCTGAATCAGAGTGTGTTGGGGTGGGGCCCTCTGACTTATTTTTAACAAGCTCCCGGGGTGACTCTGGAGCACAGTCAGGGCTGGCTGTGAGATATCAATGAACAGCCCACGCTTCGTGTTAAGGGGACCCACACCTGCCCTAAAAGGGTGGGAACAAGAAAATGATCAGGCCCATGTTTCTGAAGTTGCCACGGTCTCCGTCAGTTTACCAAGCCTGCCTTTGAGGCTCTCCACAAATGGTTTGAACTCCCACCAAGGACAGCAAGTCAGTCTAAGAAAACTTTTTACCACCACCAGGGCGTCCAGTTTGGTGCCTCCCCCCCACCCCCAGCCTGAATCTTGGCACCTATCTTTACCCTGGAGAGCTGACACACGGGAGCCATGACACACTGTGCCCGGTGAGCAGGAAACAGAAGCCCGATACTAACACGCTGTGATGTGGAAAAGCCAGCCAACTTATCTCCCCATCACACCTGCCTTTTATTTAGTTATTTAGTTATTTGTTTGTTTGTTTATTTATTTATTGTCTTTCTGGACTGTCTATCCATGCCAAATTCTCAAGGCTATCCTAAGTTTTTATTTGCGTCTTGAAGATTTAGATCTGTACTCTCCCTGGAATTTTTTAACAGGATAAGATAAGGATATCATTCTATATGTCTCCGTCCCACTTCCCTTACGGCAGTCTTCCATGGTCCACGTGAGTGTGTCTGGAGTGTGTTTCTAGCTAAGCGTCAACCCCATCAGCTTGTTTGCCTGTTCAGACTTGCAGTCACCGTGTCTTTTCTAAATGACCTGGGCAGAGATTGTCCCTTTCTGTTTTTCTTTCCCAAACATATGTAGATAATGGGAAGGTGCTAGCCGACTTTGCGTGGTTGCGATAAAACACCTGAGACACTCAGCTCACAGAGGCCCAGGACCCCATTTGAGGACACCAGGAATGTACTAACTTCCTTCCACTAAGCCCCGCCCCTTACAGGCTTCATCACCTTCCACCTACACTGGACAGAGACCAAGCCCTTGCCACAGGGCTTGGGGGGGGTTCCAGTTCAAACCCCTGCAGTGGACATTTGTTCTCCCATAGGGGCACTGACACTTGTACCTCTTGAAATTTACACCATGGTTTATCACATTTGTGTTTAGGACCATAAACCTTTTCTATAAAAAGTTTATACATTTTGTCAGATAACTTTGTGGGGTTTGCAGTTTAAACAAAATTGCTGTTTCACTTTCTGAAAAACTTCGCTGAGAATTTTGAATAGTTCTAATAATTGTTCCTTGATATTCCTGGGTTATTTGTTCTCCTCTCTCTCTCTCTCTCTCTCTCTCTCTCTCTCTCTCTCTCTCTCTCTCTCTCTCTCTCTCTCTCTCTCTCTCTCTCTCTCTCTCTCTCTCTCCCTCCCTTCCTCCCTCTCTGTTTCTGGCGTGACATACAGATACACACCATATCCACACCCATCAGTTTTCTCCTAGGTTATTTTTATATATTTACTGTCTCCTGTAGCATTCTTTCTCTTTCTTCCTTGCTGACCTTGTCTTTGCACATTTCCTGTGCTTTTCCTAACCAGCCAGGCCCTGTGTTTGAGGAGCAGCAGTGGAGAAATGGGGCATCTCTGCCTGGCCTTCAGGGGAAGCTCCTAGGGTCTCTTTTATAAAACACTTTACTGTGGACGCAGGTCAGCACCTGCTGGAGTCGGGGAGGCTCTTTAATCGACATGCTTTCATTCCACAAGGGCATTTATGATATCTAGTTTTTTTCTCATGCCCACTGAGATAATCATCAATGTTGTCCGCTTAAGTGGTCGTGCTTTTGAAACAGAGCCAGCTCTCACCCAACAAGTGGGGAGCCATGCCTGATACTGGAAGCCTAGTTAACTACTTTGGGCTGTTAATTCATGGACCTTAGAGAAAACCCTGCAACTACAACTTAACTAAACCAACATAATATCTAACGACATTATAAATATCTGTCCTTACACCCACAGGTACGTGTAGTGTTCACCATTCATCAAGAACACTTCTCTTTGCAATAGATGTAGGCCATTACAGGAAACCACAAGCAGTCAAAACGCAGTTACAGAGTCTGGTCCCAATGGATGCATGTACAAAACAACTCCTGCACCTAAGGCTCGGGGTCATTGCAGAAGAGGGAGGGGGAGAGACTGTAAGAGCCAGGGGACCAGGGAGTTTGCTACTGGATTGTCTTGTCTCTCCTAGGAATGCCAAAAGCTACACCCATAAAGTCTCACCAACATGACTGCATAAACACAAGCTGAACAAGGACAACTCATAGCCATGCTAACTAAAATGGACAAAGGAAAGCCCATGATGTCTCAACCCTACACAAAGAACTACAGGCAACTAGGGAATGCTGGGAGCTGGGGAGACAGGGAAAAACACACCCATCAATTATTCAAATCAACTGATCATCCTTGAAAATGCATATATACAAGGAGCAATATGCATGTTGTATTCATGTGTTTAGGATTATATGCATGTGTGTCTACACACACACACACACAACAAGAACAATTAAAAAGAGACTATGAATTAGAAAGAAATCAAGGTAGTAGAGGTACATGGGAGTATTTGGAGTTGGAGGAGGAAAGGAACAGGGCAAATGGTGTTAATTGTCTCATAACCTTCTCAAAAATGTAACTTTTAAGGAGAAATGATTAAAAATGAAAAAAAAACTATTTAACTCTTGGGATAAACTCCATTTGATGTTATATTTTACTTGGGCCTTATGTTCATGGGATTCAAAGTGATGCCTAAAACTTTTTCTCTTTTTCTGTGTGTGTGTGTGTGTGTGTGTGTGTGTGTGTGTGTGAGAGAGAGAGAGAGAGAGAGAGAGAGAGATGTGTATGTACATGCACATAGAAGTCACAGGTTAACATCTGGTGTCCTCCTCAATCTCTCTCCACCTTAAATTCCAAGATGAGGTCTCTCACTGACCCTGGAGCTCACTAATCCAGCTATATATGGTGGGTTCAGTTCCCAGCATCCACACAGTGGCTCACAATCATCCCTAACTCCACTTCCAGGGGATCTGATGCCCACTTCTGACCTCCCTGGGTACCAATCATGCACACGGTGCAATACATACATATAAATAAAGCACAAGTAAAATAAAATGAATAAATCTAATAAAATTTTCTATTATTTCTTTGTGATATGAACAAAGATGAAACCTGTTGGTAATCCTTCTAGGGTCTAGAACATGATTAACCCCTGTGACCGTTCCATGGGTGACTGTTATGAATGATGTCTTGCTGATATGTTTTGCCTTGGGTTTGGTTTTTGCGTGGCTGGCTATTGTCACAGAGGGGTAGACGAGGATTTCCAAGCCCCACTGCTGGTCCATCTACTTCCTCACACAGCCGCCAACTTCGATTTCAGCCTTGTACTGTGAAATCAGTGTGTCCATGATGACATCTAATTATCACCCTTTGCGAGCATGCATCACCCTTCCTTGCCTTCAGACTTGCATTAAACTCCACTTTGTCTAA